ACAATGAAATTTTTTTATACAGAAAACAATCACGATATTCTAGTGCACGAGCGTTTCATTTTATAGGATTTAAAATATTATTTCCTGTCCTGATAAATATGAGTCCGTTTTTAAAATAAAACACGTGATAAGTTTTTCAAATAATATGAATAAAATGTAGCGACGCAATATACATTTCCCACTGACACATTAATGTTTTCTTTTGTTCGTGATAATTCATTATTCTTTAAACTAACGTGAAATATAAAAACGTTAAAGTTAAATTCATAAAATAATCTTGCATATACAAACTTCTAACTTAGTTCTAATGTCTATGGGCAGCGGTCACTTATCTATTTTGGAGATTTCAGATATTAAAATAAATAGTGACAAGGATTTATACTTAAAGTTTCACTTCACTTATATTTTTGTCACTTATGTATTTTTACGATATCGTAATGTTCCCCCGGGATGACTTTTGTTCCACGACATCGCAAACTTCCATACGAAAGTAAAAAGAATGATGAATGAAACAGTATTCCATTTCATATGAAACTATTCCCTTATGTTTGCAGATTTATTCCTCTGCAAATGCGTAGATATTTATAAATCATTATTAATACCGTGGGTTTCTGAGACCATTATCTCTAACAAAACACTACTTTTTTAACCCAGGTTTTTGGTATCAGAAACCCTCGGTTACTGGTTTCATCGTCAAAATAAAACATTGCAAGGCACTTAGGTTATTAGTATTCGCAAAAGGTAATATGAAATAAATAAAGTTGTTTGAAAAAAGGCATTTTTTAAGACACTGATTACCATCTTTTGAGCACAGATCTGATGGGGTTACAATAAATTGCTATAATTTATTAAAAAAAATACTTGATAAATGCGCTAACGGCAGTTACATATGCATATATTTGCATTTGAATTTTTTGATTTTTGCGTCGCGTCGCTTTGTTTATTGCTTACACGACGACTTTAATGTATCGTCCTTGAAAACGCAAAATCAAGAAAGGGTGTTTAGTTACTAAAACTGTCGACAAATGATTTTTTTAGTTCAAAATCACACGCACATGTACACAATTGTATGATTGCTAATATTAGTGGTCACTAAGCTATTATTGTTTTTATAATACTAATGTACATAAAGTAGTCTCGTAAAACGCTAAGCTTCGGTAAATTAACTTTTATCTGGTCCACTAGGGTGATGTCCAGCCATTGGATAAAATTGCACTTTTTACGCTCGTCTCACTGTTTACGACCTATTAAATTTTAGCATTTACAAAACAGCGGCCATTCCATACAATGGCTACTTATGAGAATTTTGTCGCATGAATATAAAGAAAAAAATCAAAGATGTAAAAGTAAAATAAATACTTACCCGATTGACAAAGAGGGTGATGTTTTTCGTCAGTATGTAGGTGTGTTTAATTGTATGTAAATACCTTTATAACGGCCTATAGCCTAAACGATTGAATCGATATTTACATGTCATTCAATTCCTCTTCTACTCTTCTTCCCATGAGTGTGCCGTGTAACGATATAACGTACCCTACATTACATTGGCTCGGTAACGAAGTCGCGTGAGTAAACTAGTGTTGAATAAATCTGTATCAAAATATATTAGCATGTACACTCATACGAAATGGTCGAGATAGCTTGTTGTGCTGACACTCTCCTTTAATTAACGCCGCAAACTAGAAGCGTATAACAATTTAGTGGAATTAGGGCATAACTAACATGTGATTTAATTCTAACTCAACAACAACAGCTTGGGTAGTGTATTTATTGAAACATTTTTTAGGAAATCTTACTTCTTACTAATATTATAAATGCAAATATTTGCATGTATGTTTGAAGGTATCTCCAGAACGGCTGCATTTATCTGGCTGAAATTTGACATAGATATAGTACATAGCCCAGAAGAATAAATGGGCTACTAATGAAGTTTTTTTTTTAGTTCCACGCGGACGGAGTCGCAGGCGACAGCTGATACTTGCACAAAACAAACGTCTCTTAATACAACTGAATGTGAATTAGTGTGTAGATTCTAACTTTAGCCGATTTTTTTTGTTCTCGACTTTTATAAGTTGTAATTACCTATGTGACAGCTATAGTGTTTTCTACTCAAGCTATAACACTAAGTTTTACTTGTTAATCTGGATAAAATACTATTAAGTTCTGTTTTTAAATATCTTACTTGAATGTTTAAAAAATAATTCAAACTGTATAGCTAATAATGTTTCCATTGCTCGTCGCAGGCTGACGCATCGCCTTACATATTGTCATCATTTACGTTCAGTGAACGGAACGTTTACAAATTGACGTATATTTTGTCTTCCTGTCACGTAAATCTGGAAGAGACATTTTATATAACACTAACTTACAATAATGCATTTATCAAGCTTATCTTTTGAATCATTTAAATGTACAAGATTGCAATTTTAAACCTTTAGGAAAGAGTATACAGCGCATTAGGTATGAACGATTTTTTTATTAGCTGTCGCCCGTGACCCCATCCGCTCGAAATAAAAAATAGTGTTTGTATTCTTCCAGGCTTCTATATCAATGCCAAATTTCAAGGAAATCCATACAGCCGTTCTGTAGATACCTTCTAACATACATCCATCCATCCAAACATGTATGAAATTTAGCAATTGTTGTTATTCTATGATAGTAAGCTGAATTATTTGTTCCGTGAAATCTGGAGCACAAGAGCTTTTATTTCGTTGACATCGCGTCAGACGTCAGGGAAACAATTCAATTATATGAGACAGCCTTCACGCAAAGAAAACATCAAATACATTTCAACTTTATCTTGAACAATATTATTTTTATATATTTTTCCTGGACATAGTACATTCAATACAAACATAACATTTATGCAAGCAATGTTTTTATATGACATTATAATTACTCTATATATCTGGGTTTGGTCTTGATATAAAAATCATTAAGTGTCAACAGCCCCATAGTTGAGATTCCTCATACTAAAGCTGCATTAAACGACTCTCATAATGATTAGTACCTGGATGACCGAGCTTTGCTCGGTATTTTTTTTTAATTGTGTCTTTTGGAAATTATGTTTAAGTACGAATTACTAATAAAATGATGAAATATGAATAATATTTTCGATCTTACCGATAGAAAAAGTTAAGTTTATGTTTAAGTTGATTATCGATAAAACACGAATAAAATGACATTTTTTAAAAATGATTCCTAGCTAGATCGATTTATCACCCCCGAAACCCTCTATATACTAAATTTTATGAAAATCGTTGGAACCGATTCCGAGATTCCGAGAGAGATTTTATATATATATACATACAAGAAGTACTCATTTAAAGATATAAGATTAAGCAATTCCGAATAACGCAGTATGTGATATAAGTTATAACTATAGCTATATTTTGAAGTGCTTCAATTTACGTGTTACTAAATCTTTTACACTTTTAAAACTTTATCAACGAAGTTTAGTATTGCAATACCACCAAGTACATTGAATATTCCGTAAAAAAATTCCAACCCCTACCAATATTCAATGCACGTCCAGTCTAACGGGAATGGAAAATAAAAGCAAAAGAAATAAATTGCAAGCGCTATGTGAGCAAAGTGCCTTTGTTTCATCGCAGTTTTCGATTAGCTCCTTTTGTTCGGAACTGTCCGCTTTTAACTAAAAAGGTTGTATATGTTTGTATAAATTGAAATTCAATTAGTTCAAGTTACTACTCAATAGAAAATATTAACACAAAATACGAAGCAAAAATATGCTCTTATAACTAAACAATATAACTACCTTTATCTACGTTTTTATTAGGTCTTAGAAATTTTTTAAATATGGTTTTGCACATATGTTATGGAAAAACGCTTTTTATATTCGATAACTAACGTTTTCATGCTAAAACTTGAGGATTTAATTCCAATGTTTTACTTTGTCAAGGGCATGTCTACTTTCGACATTTAAAATATTGTTTACGAATTAACAAAGATACGTTAACATTTAATTGTTCTAGCGTATTTCGAATACGGTCTTAAACAGTAAATTAAATATATTGGTTGCCAGTATTGAATGTAATGTTCTTGCCGATTGAACCGCTTATGTCCAACCGGAAATAGCAAGTGATTTAGTCCCAATGCCGGAAACAAGTTCATATTATTGGTGTCCGTATTCAATATGTAGTATTAAATACTTCCCCTGCAACTTCATTGGCGAGATATTTTTACCGAGTATTTTCCTCCACAAAACATTGTTAGCATTTTTATTTCATAACTCTCTTTATAAGCTGCCAACATTTCTTACTACATTCTCAGTTCGTGTTGGAAGAGCGCTGGTTTACTTTAATAACTTTTTATCTAATAGAAAAAGCAGAAAGAACAATTAACAATTTCTTCTGTACTTCACTGTTCAGTTTTTATTATGCTTTAGTACTTTTTCTATTTATATGAATTTGTTAGTGAAAATCTTAATACCGAATTAATTTACAAACATTTTTAAGAGAGTAAGCTGATTTTTAAAAACCACAAAGTGACAGCAGACATGATGTGTAACGAAAATGTACCTAACCCGATGCTAAGGTTTAGCTAACAAGACTAGCTGACAAGCTACGCGATTTTCAACTAAGCTCTATGCTAATGCTAGAACATGATTTACGACAATGGTGGAATAGTGGGATTTGAACACCCGACTATGTGACCGGAAATCCGTGCCTTTAACCATTAGGCTTTTGGAAAAAATCCAACAAATAAAATTGTACAATAGCGCCATCTGTGAACGACTTGTGAAACCAACGCAGCGCTAGTAACGCCCGACTCGCGCTTGACGTAACCGCCATACTACTTTACCTTCCTCCACAAAAATTCGGTTTAATTTACAAAGGGGAGTTAAATAATATTAATTCTTTCTCCATTATTAGTTCGAATCCTCACCACGGCGATCAAAAGCTTAAATCAAATATACTGTAACCTATCTAGTCGATTATAGAGGTCAGTGTTGTACCCATTTAAAGCGCCACCCCTGAATTTTTCTGAGAACTAATTTTGACACATTTGCAAATGGCCGGCTTGTTGGTGTTAACATTTTTTCGTCTATTAATAAGTTTTCTTTGTGTAAGATTTATGTAAGAATTTATAACATTGCGAAGAACAGGTGTCTTTGACATGCTAGGAATTTTGTTTTAAACAACAATGATTACTTGTGTATTTTGTAAAACTCAATACGAGAAAGGAAGTGGGATTTCATTGCACAAGTAAGTTGATAAAAATGAATAGTAGGCTAGTTTAAGGTGAAAGTCAGTTGCTGTTTCGCTTACTATTAACTAAGCTTTTACTAACAGTTATACCAATAGGATATAGATTTCCTTATGGACAAAACATGTCAACCATATTTTGACATTAATGTTATTTATTTTGCAGGTTTCCAAAAGGGGGGGCATTAAAACGGTGGCTAAATAATATGAAACTTGATAACTTTATTCCTACAGATAATGATCGTCTATGTTCCAAACATTTCACTGCAGAGTGTTTTTCTAAACATAAGACTCGCACAACATTGAACCGTAGTAGCATACCAACAATATTTGATTCTAAAATGAGTAAGTAATGCCTGATTTACATTATGTCACTACAGTAAATCTTGAATGGACTGTTTTTAAGATAGTGTTTACATGGTGCTTGAAATTTACTGTATTTGTGTGCTTAAAGATTGAAGAAAACCAGCAGTGGCAATTTTAATTTTAACCAAGACCTAGTGTTTAGTTTAGTTTTAATTTTAACCAAGATATAGTGATCCTAAATATCAGTATTCACTAACTTTGTCTTTATAATATATCAATGTACAGCCAGTTCCATAAATATGTAGACACAAAACTTAAGAAACTTGTAATAGGTCTAAAATATGTAACCGTAGTCAGAAGCACATACAATGTATTTTTACAAGTTTATTTTTTTACAGTTATATTTTTCAACCAAAGTCATTCGTCACCAATTTTGAAAGCTTTGTAAAGGTGTACATATTTATATAGCTGACTGTATCTCTAGTGCACATTCAACTTCTTTTATGAAACTATTATCACAGTTATCTAGACAATTAGATAGCTTATACTAGACTGGCATGTAAAATAATTAATGTCCTAAAATAAAATAATCTTTTAGCTTCTAAATTGTGATGTTTATTTCCATGTACGGTTTTCAGAGCTTACTTCCAGTGCATCGTCTCAAAAAGAGGATTCTATGAAGGATGGTGATACTCGGAAAAGCTGTAAGGCACAACGCTCAAAAAACAAAAGACTACAAAAGCTGAAAAGCCAAGGAGCTAACACAACATCCAACCCAATAGAAGACCCCTTGGACGAATTTGGTTTACGTAGGCCAATAAAAATAGAGATTGAAGAAAAACTTAATACTTCTTGTTCATGTTAGTTTACATTTATTTTGTTTATTATTATTAAATTTTAACAAACAGTTTTTGTTCCTCAGAGCTGAATGGAACCATTTTATGCTAGGCTTACTATGTACTTGCAACTAACTCATATTAGTTACACTGCTAACTCAAGAATGGCATAACCAATTTGGGTGAAAATTGGTGGGGAGGTCGCTTAGAACTGGGAGACAGACATGGGGTACTTTTTATTCCATTTCCTTTTTTTTTGTAATCTGCTGCTTGCAAATAATAATTAATAATTAAAATGTGAAACCATCTGTGTGGTTATTCATACATATAAATTGTTTTTCTAGGTCTGATGACAAACTGCAATGCAAACCAGGATGGTATTCCAGTGAAGGGTATAAGTCACGTGTGGGGTACAGTCAAACATGATCATTGTTATCAAACAGACAATCCTACATTATCAAAAAAGGCAAAGGAAGAATTACAAAATAATTTGAAGATTGCACGATATCGTATAAAAGTTTTATCACAACATGTAAAACGATTGAGAAACAAAATCACTAGTTTAAAAGATACAAATAAACAATTAAGAAAAAGAAAAGTAATCGGTGATGCTTTTGTTGATATGTTAAAAGATGGTGACGATGTGAAGCCACAGCTGTTTAAACGGATGTTTTTAAATGCTGATAAAAATGTAAGCCATGCCGGATATCCAAAAGAATTAAAATCTTTTTCAATAACACTATATGCTCTTTCACCACAAGCATATGCTTATGTCAGGAAAAAGTTCAATCTAGCATTACCACATCCACGTATGATACGTGCATGGCGAAGTGCTTTAAATCAGAAATCTGAACATCCAGTTGAAAATATTAACAGTGTTAATGCCAACAACCCAGCTGGCACTTCAGGTGAAGATGGCTTGAAACATACCATCATGATCCGTACCGCTGACTCCCCTTACGAGTTTAATTCAGTTCAAGATGGAATGGAACATGTTAACAGTGACACTGAAACACCCTGTATATTAGCTTTAGTACAAGATGAAATGGAACATGTTAACAGTGGAAATGAATCACCGAGTGAATCTGCTTTACCCGAAGATGAAATGGAACATGTTAATACTGCCAACGAATCACCCAGTGAATCTGCTTTACCCGAAGATGAAATGGAACATGTTAATGGAGACAATGAAACACCCTGTGAAATCACTCTAATAGAAGATGGAATGGAGGATGGAATGGAAGATGAGTATGGTGCAATTGAATTACCCTATAGATTTACTTTAATACGAAATGAAAGAGAACATGTTGACAATGACACTGAAATGCCCTGTAAATTTACCTTAGTTCAAAATGGCATGGAACGTGTTAATGCCACAAACAAACGTAAAAAAACAACCAAGCAAAAGAATAAGAAGAAAAATGATTTAAACTTCAAAGTTGGTGATTTAATTGATAATTTAATTGTTAAAAATAAATAATAAAATTAATTTATTTTTAATTTCGACCATACACCTATTTCATATTATCCTATTCATTAAACATGTGTTTTTCCAAATCAACTAATTTAGCAACATTTTGTATTATGTTTTCTATACAGGGTTTAAATTGGATGATGGATCAAAAGCTTTGTGGAGTTCAAGAATCCTTATACAAATTATATTAATAAAAATACTGTAACTGAATGATTTTCAATGGATCTATTTTTTTTTTTGTCAAAACATTTAAAAACTCTTTCCTTTTCTTAAAACTTAGGTATTTATACTTTACTATGTAACTTTAAACATTTTGTTCTTGCAAATCCTTTTAAACTATTCACAGAAATCTGTCCGAACATCTAAAAAAAATTAATTAGCCTTTCATCCGTCTTTTATAAAAAAAAATAATTGAAGCAGGTAAAACTATGAATCTTATGCAATTCTAACTTGATTACTGTTGGTATCAACGACCATAGCCAAAGAGCCTGTACGTGATATTACATGATTGTGCAACATGAACAGGAACAAGAAAACCCACCACAAGCAGGAAACCTAGAAGACGGGCGTGGGACTGACACGTAATGCAGAGTGGGTAAGCATCGTTAAAATCGTATATGTTAACTGTATAAATGATGCTTAGTCAGATAGTTAAGAGCAAATATGAGACGATGTATTTGTAAAAATACTGTTCAATTAATTCACATAAATTATTCATTATCACAATATTTCATTCTCATTAATTTCTTTTTGTATTGGCAACATTTAAATTAGTATAAACTTTTCCTATGCTGGCAACAATTATTCATTGGACATAAAGTTTGCTACCATAACGCACGCTATTTTTCTTATATAAGTAGCTATTCAATAAATAGTTAAACAACCACCGCTTGTTTAATTATACAAATACATTCATTCTTTGTTAACCATTAAGTGGTTTTATTTCCGCGTGATCCGCATGGGGGGTGCACCGGTGATTATTGCCGGTGCACCTCCCGTGCATTACGTCTGTATGTCCGCACTCAGTCTCATCCGGGGATGACTGGATGTAAAATTACGTTGTTTGTTCTTTATTATATACAACATATTTGGATATCTTACTAGGTGGTGGAACGGTACTCCGATGTCGACATATAAGAATTGATAGACAGTTCCCAGCGACACTCGACTTTCGTTATTGTTAACGTATATAATTTATTAGCGTTTCACAGCCTAATAGGCCATTGTATTCAGATTTCTAAGTCCACATTGGGCTATTATAACTCCGTAGACATGACCGGGTATCGTGTACCAATTCGTGTTACCACTACAGATCAATTTCGATTGTTGATTAAATGTAATTAATTCTGCCATCTCATTTCAACTATAATACTTGTAGACACGCGGTTTATCCTATTAAATGCGTATGTTTGGATTTATGGATGTTTGAAAGTATCTTAAGAACGGCTGAACGGATCTCGATGAAATTTGGCATACACATAGTCCGGAAGAACATATAGGCTACTAATTGTTTTTTTTAATGCCGCTATATTATATAACGTGGTACAATTTTAGTGTTTATACTGAAATTCGAAAGACTTGTCGAACATTTTTAGAGTATAAAAAATCTAATTGAGTACACTAATCAATACGTACATTTGGTATACTCTTGAATGATAAAGCAATGTACATTTCACTAAATAATACATAATACACACCTACGTAGTTCATAACTACGTATGAAACCAGAGAGACAAAGCGAAAGCTTCTAACAATTACCGTTGGGGAGGCTTCAAACCTTCCAAGAAAACACATTTCCAATATTCCAAATACAATCAATGTAATATAAGAACAACACACCTCTAAGTAAAAGGAAAACTGTCCTAACAATGGGATACAAAATATTACAAGATGTTCAAAAGAAAATAAAGAATAAATAGAATTATCAAGGTAAGTCAAAGATGAGAAATGTGTGTAATTTTTTCTTTCTAGGTAAATATAAAAATAAACTGAAATATTCGTCAGAGTGCTTTCTTTGTACTACTTACGTAACTTTTTATTAAACTATCTTTTTTTACAAATGCACCGGTCACCGAGACTCATGAAGCAACCAGACGAACCGCAGATGTTTTCGACCTTTACTGATGAGGTGTGATCGCTTCTTGTAAGACTACGTAACACTTAGGAAATACCGCCGAGGAAAGACTAACAACGTGGGTGTAAGCGACATGAAGTTTCGTTCTATTGCAGGGTGTTTTTGAAGTGCTTTAATTAAATTTCAATAAAAAATATCACGATTTACGAAATAGGTTTTTTAATTACGATTTAAAAAACCCCAAAGTACACTTATCATATGAAACAAAGTACTAAGCAAACATAACGTTGTATAAGACGATATCAATCAGAAACTGTAATGAAAGTTGTTTGTGCGATGGTACGTATTTGTATTTGCACGAGTCCTATTAATTTATTTACGAACAACCACTGTAAGCGTACTTACAACCAAACGTTAGTAATTTAAGTTGCGTTCCCGAAAACGAATGCAAAGCTATCTCTTACCAAATAGAAGCAATCTTTTTATTATTAACGTTAAATCAAAACCAATCATAAGACGTGAATAGAATTTCTCAGAAAAACGGTAAAAAAAAATTAATCGCTATCCCAATTTATTTTTTGAAGGCTTCGTAATTTCTATCTCATAATCTTTTCTCGCAGTAAATGAGTTTTCGTAAGAATTTTTAGGAGTTCTATTTTTCGTTATACTGCGACTATAAAGCTATATTTAGAATGTTATTATAAATTGTCTATACGTGATTTTAATTTAATTCACTTGCCTGTGCTTTCCCTGTGACCAGTAAAAAGACCGTTATTTTTTTATTAATTATTTCCTAACTTATGAATTCTAACGTAAGCACCTAACATTTTATTTAGTCTGTGTGTTGGCGACGTAGTTACAAGTGCCAGTCATTATAAGTGGACTCGTTCGCAAGACGTTCGAGTTCAAGGAACCCGCCGCGGTTCGGCTGCGCTTATCTTGTGCTGCACAGCCCGCCTCTATAGTGCGGGTTGCTTTGAGAATCGTGTGTCGGCGGTAAGACGCAGCGTCGTCTTACTTCAGCCGATAAACAACGGTGCGGTACAAGGTATCGTTTGTTGGAGCCGCGGCGAACACGTATAAATATCACATTATTTTTGTAACTATTTGCTTTCGTTTGGGAGTAATAAAGGCGACAGTTTTTCCGATCAAGAAGAGCTTTCATTTATCGTATACAGTTTACTACACTGTGTTTATTTAGTTTATAAAGACCTAGGTATTCAACTTCAAACAACTTTATCACTGTTTATTTGAAGACTATTTTCTATTAGAAAATTGTTTAGCGTTTAATAACTGTGTACAAACCGTTTCGTCTGAAGAAATTACTCGGAACAAATATTTTAACAAATTGGAGTACCACTTAGTTCCTCCTATTTATATAGAGGGCACCTTTCATACCCAGTCAAGGTTAATTATAATCACCAAGTTACTCTTGAGAATTAGAACAAAATATCGAGTGGAACTTTAACTTAAAATCAATAATAATTTGTAACGTAATATACAGACATAATAAACTACTATGCGCTTAGGCCAGGCTCTCACTTATAAAATAAACTATCTAATATTATAAATTCGATTGTTTGGATGGATGAATGTCACAGTGACAGTTTATCTGAAAAACGGCTGCATGGATAACCCTGAAATTTGGCACAGATATAGAGCCTAGTCTGGAATAACACATAGGCTATTTTTTTTAATTCGGCGCGATCAGAGTCGACACGTTGTATAGTAAATATTTACACTGAAATACTTTGTAAATACAATACCAATTGCCTGTTAAGATAAACATAGCTGGAATCTAATTTATAATTATGTTCCACAACTTTTAAATATATTAGCAAAGTACCTAAGTAACATAAGTATACTTTTATTTGGTTCTTACAAATAACAAAATTTTCGTATCGATATTTAATTTCATTATACAATACAAACAAACAACCTTTAATGTCAGACTTAATTATATTTAAATCTTATGCTATATAATAAACCTTATTGGTATTACAAATGTTGCTAATTCACGCAACAATCCACTTCAATAACCAACAACAATATTTATTGTACGCAAAATCATTATGTGCGTAAATAACTGAGAGAGATGCTCTCAGCTAGAGCTTTATCAGAATTTTATTATATTCCGATTTCATTTAATATAAATGAATCATTTTATATATAATCTAAGGTAATATCGAAGATAGCCAAGGTAATTTTCCCGTCGTCTTGAATGTGTGCCAATCATAAAGAAATCTACCGAGAATTAACATTATAAGGGCCATGAGTATTAAGTTTACTATATTAATATAGCTTATAGGCATCTCCACTTGTCCTCCTTTACTGCACACGTGGCCTAAAGATATTGTGCTAATCTGTAACAGAATTATTAAAAATTTTATAGTTTAAAATTTTTCTCGTTTGTTCGAATGGATCAAAGACAAATATTAAATTGCTCTTTATACAGTTATCTACATTGTTTAATTTATTTTTTGGTAATATCTAAAATGTTATCTTTAGAAGAAAAACCGACAATAAGCTGTTGTATCGGCGCAACGCTAGACCTACTAAAATATCAACGCTTACGTCCCACGACACGTTTCGTTGAAAGCGCGCCATTCGCTCCAAACGATTTTAACTAAACTGTCTTGAAATTATTTAACAAAAACTGATGAAAACAAAACAATTTCAACATTAGTTTATTACCTGGACATGTGAAATGGTTTTATCATCAGACTTCGGACATTTAATGTCATGTTGGTCGCGTATAACTCTCTTATATTTATGCAGCAAAGCCTGGAACCTTGGTATGAAGTGACAATCACACCGCCACGGATTATGACCGAGCATCACGTGCATTATATTATTGTTGACTTGTATCGCCTTATCGAATGCGTACACTGGAATCTGGTTTAAAGCAAATAATTAAATGTAAACACTTTTTAACATGACAGTACAATCTCCTACAAGTTAAACACTTTTTACACGCCAGTACATTCTTTAACAAATATTTTTTTTAATTATTTTAACTTTACCAACTGAAAGAAGGGTGGAAGAAATACTTTAAGTAATTAATCCTCCCTTCTTGTTTTCTAATCACTTCGTTATCACAAAATTGAATACAAAGCATTTTTTTATGTATTTTTATAGCAATTAGTTAAATTATAATTATTTATTTCGTAGCGACGTAAAATAAAATAATTAAAAACTAAAAACTTGAATAAATACTCCAACTATGAGGTTATATATCTGTCTTACTAATATTATAAATGCGAATGTTTAGATGGGTGGATGGATATTTATTTGAAAGTAGCTGAAATTTGACATAGATTTACAAAAAAAAACTTGATAAATACATAGGTAAATACATTGGCTATGTCTTCTTCCAGACTATATACGAGTACATTAAGTTTTATTTTAAATCCGCACGGACGGAGTCGCGGGCGACAGCTAGTGATTTATATGTATTAGTGATAATAATTTACCTGCTTTAGCAAATTACCGCGTAAGCTTAGG